TTGATACCTTAACATTATTGAGTCTTCCAATTCATGAATATGGTGTACATTCCATTTATTTAGGTAATCTGCCAGCAATGTTTTGTAGTTTTCATTATAGGTATCATCCCCCAAATTTTAAAATTTACTCCTAAGCATTTTATGATCTATGAGCTATTGTAAATAGAACTTTTACAATTTCATTTTTAGTAGTTGCTGCTTGTATACAGAAATACAATTGATTTTTTTATATATTGACTTTGTACTCTGTGATCTTGCTAAATTCACTTTATTAGTTCTTTTATTGTTTTGTAAATTCTTCAGAATATTCTGCATTAACAACAATCTGTAGCTAGAGAGTTTTACTTCTTTTTTTCCTGATCTTTGGGTTTCTTTTTTCTTTTCCTTATCTTATTACACCAGCGAGGATCTTCAATAAAACACTGAATAGAAATGGTGGGAGTGGGCACCCTTGCCTTCTTCTGATCTTGGGGGAAAGATTCAGTATTTCATTATTGAGTATAATAGCTGTAAATTTTTGTGTGTGAGTGCCTATCATATTGAGAACTTCAAGCTTTGCTTTGCCCTTGGTGAACCACAGCTGCAATCTGTCTAGTTCTGTTAGTCTTAGATGGGCTTCCTGGAATTTGCCTCTTGTGTATGTTGTTCAAAGGTCAGTCAGAGATTTGGACAGAGTTTATAGAAACAATTTGAGTCTCTTTTCTGCAGTTTTTGCTTTTGCTGGATATTTTCCTTTGATTTCCAGCTTCTGTCGTAGCCCCAAACTTCGTTGTTTGATTCCTCAAGCAAGTAAAACTGCAGAATTCTATCCAAATTCTTCCCAAATCAGAAACTCTTTCAGAGACATTCCATTCAGATGCCCACCCTCTTCCAAATCTATCTGCTTCTGGTAACTCTCCAGGGTTGTCAGTGGTTGTTTTAATATAATTTTCCCAATATTTACAGTTGTTTTCTGTTGAGACATTTGGTCCAATATAAACAACTTTAACATTATCAGACATGGTGCGTACATTTTTAAATAATGTGGTCAGAATAGTCCTCACAGAGAATGTGGAATTTAAGCAAAGATTGGAAAGATGAGAGGGATTTAGCCAAAGGGGCAGTTTTTTTTGAAAAGCCTCCAGGCTGACAGAAGAGCAATAATCAAGGTGGAAAATGCCTGATAGGTCTGAGGAAGAGCAAGAAGAGCAGGATTTTAAGGAGAAGAGTAGTGTGATCAGATATGCATTTCTCAAATATAACCCTTGCTATTTTGTGAATAGATTCTATGGATGCAAATGTAGAAGCAGAGGATTACTTAGGAGGCTGGAGAATTCACAGGAGAGATAATGGCCACTCAAACCAGTGTTATCAGTGGCCGTGATAAGACTGGTGAAGTGCTAGATGTTTATGAAGGAAGAGCCAACAGATTTTTCAGTGGCTTGGATGTGGCCTGTGAAGGAAAGTGAGGTTTCAGAATGACTCCAGGTTTTTCTAGCTTATAAAACAGAAGGATGGAATTCCTATCAACCAAGAGAAGGCTATGGGTGAATCAGTTTAATAAGACAAGATCTGTGCCCTAAAAGGCTCATAAATGAGAGAGATACTTAAATAACTAACAGGATCAACTAACTGAACTAATGTGCTAAGTACTTTTGATAGCAGTTCTGTGGGAGACCAGAGAAGAAAAGAAACATTTCAATTTGTGATGAGGGAGCAGGTGGTAGTGGATCAACATAATAAAGAATAAATAGGATGTGAAAGAACAGGGAGGAAGGAATTGGTAATGGAAAAATAATCATGAACAATAACCCAGAAATGCAAAAATTAACGCTAAGGGTTTGGGAATTGGGCACAGTTTGGTGTGGCTTGAGTTAACGGTGTGTGATAATGGTGGCTGGGAAAGAGATGGCGCACTGGAAGAGAGGAAAGTATAGGACAAAAGAAAGTAAGGAACATATGACTTAGTATGCTAACGAGCTTGCACTTATCCAACAAGCACTGGGGAAGTGGAAGAAGGTACTTTTAAACAGTAATGTGAAAATCCTTGGGTGGAAAATAAACCAGTAATTTTTGTTTGTTTTTTTTGTTGTTGTTGTTGTTGTTGTTCCTTATCTGAAGGCAATTAAATAAATAAATCACAAAAAATAAATATTCAGTGTTGAGTTCTACAGTGTGGTCCCTAAAGGTATTTCCAGACCTGTTCTGTTGCAGTGTTATGAATTTAATTTGATGACTCTTTTTCTGGCATGATTTAATGACTTCTCATAATATTAAGTAGATGGGAAAAAACACAAAGTGAATAATGCCAGGTTCCCCATTCATTTGGGTAAGATATTAAGTGGTTAATTGTTTGCCAGCATATTCTATGAATCGAAAATGTTTTATAAGCCTTTTGAAAAAACTAATGCTGTTGAGTCTTGTGAATGTTTTTTCTTTTCAAGTCAGGGTCCCCAGGAGTGAGGTATCAGGGGACTTTCCGTAGCAGTCAGTCAAAATCATGAAATATGTTTATTTCTCTTACTCAAACAACAAAAGGTGGTATTTGCATGAAATGTTTAATGCTTTTTTGCATGTGTTTAGACATGTGTTAGTTACTCTAGGGATGCTGTTGTCTTTGGAGGCCTAGAAGAAACAGTACATTCCTTGGGGTATTTTAGGATTGTCTTAATCAAATGTCTTGATTAGAAGGGATAGGAGCCCTTTCTCATTTTAGTGTTTGAGTGGTTTTTAAGATGACTAGTATTTATGATTTCTATGTAATACAGACGTTTGGGGGCAGAAAGATGTGGATTTTATCTGGACCCTCCTCTTAGTAGTAGTTTGAGATTGGCTGAGTCTTACTCTTGGAGTGTCATCTTTAAAATGGAGATGATACATTTTCTACCCCAGAAACTATGAAAATAAAAGGCGAAATCTATGATGGTAACATAAACATTATAAAGCACTATTAATGTAAGATATACTAATTTATATTACTCTATGCACTTACATAATAAAATAGATAAATTTATAAAATAGATAGAATAATAGATTACATAATAAAAGGTACATCTTTCCTGACAAATGATATATGTGAGATTTAACCCACTGCTGAGATAATAGTTACATAAAAATCACATATGAATTGGTTTTCTTGATTTTCATGATCTTTAACATTTTTAACCTACTACTATCAGTTATTTTCCTTTTAGATTAAATATTCAGCACATGAATAATCCATTTTCATGTGTTCTCTACATCACACCTTTTATATATCCACACATCTGTCTTTGAAACAAAATTACTTAATTAGCTTAAGATAAACTTGTTCTAAAATGGTGATCAGAGTTGAAATTTAAGAAGTACAGAAGAGGACAAGTCTGTAATTATCAGTTTCTAGTGCTTGCCTCCAAATTTTCAGATGCTTCCATTTCTTCCTATTTCAGCTGTTGCATGAGATGAATTATTCATTACAACTTGATGTTATTTTTAGTTAATAAAGCAGCACAGACCAGTGGATGATGAAATTCAGATAGCTCAGGCTTATTTGGTAAGAGGATGGCTCTCAAAATCTACAAAAGAGCCTTTGTTGGATTCTTTCAACCATACATCTATTGTTGGCTCAGATATACATTAGCCGATTTTGAACTTAAAAATAAACTAATTTAAGCCATAGCTCAATAATGGAGAGTTCAATTACAGTTATTTCTTTTTTAATTTACAAAGCTTTTGATGTTGTTGTAAGAAATGTCCATGGCATGAAGCTTCTGCCTGAGTAGTAGGTGTCTAAAAAACGAATCATCACCATCATCATCATCATCATCATCATCATCCTCTTCCTCCAGATTAAAAAAGGAACCACTGTTTTTGTCCTCAAATAGTAAGTTAAATATATAATTCTAAAAAATGAAAAAGTTTTACTAGAACCTGTACAATCATCTTATAACTTCAGAGAAAACAGGTGGAGGCCTCCACTGCTAGGACATCATAGAATGAATGCAGTCACCAAAAGTGACAAACTGTTCATTGGAGAGATATTCCAAAGGCCCACTTTCTACTTGAATATGATTCATATTATGACTTTTATGTACGTAAAGGACTTTGCTGGTCTAGTGATGGTGAACTGGGTCTGTCTGAAGTGAGATGGCAGTAGTGGCACTTTTAGAATGCAAAAGGTCTAAGGCATAAGGCATAGTCCTTTGAAAACAATGTAAACTTGGGCTCTGATAATGTTTTTAAAAAATTATGTCTAAGTGGCGTTCATTGAATAATGCATTAAGAAACTTTTATGTAGCAAACACACCTTTATTTTAATATTTTAGGCACGTGGGTTAATTGTTGGGTTTCCAGTAACCTAAGCTACTCTGCACAGAATAGTATTAAGAGCTTATTTTATATTTCTATACTCACTGCTTTTCAAAATGAGATGATTGGAATCTCACATCTCATTTGATTAGTTCATTACTCATGTTATGTTCTTTTCCTTTCATAAAGGAAACCATATGATATTTTGGATTCCAATGTACTGATGCTTCAGGAAAATGACATGTATGTGTGTGTTACTTGCTTTTTGTTATGTCATTTGGGAGGAAGCTAGGCATTACTGAAGTTATCACTATTTTTAACACTAACAAAGCCCTTTTAATCTGTAATGCTAGAAATATTCAATAGAAACCTATTTGTGGAAATATATAGGAAAAACATAGATTTAAATACCTAATCTTATTGAGGCAAAGACTTATCACCTGGATGTTCTCAGATCTCATTGGCATTGTTTTATTTCACAGATTTTTCTCTTTCACTGGGCCAGCCATTTCTGGTTCTGGACTTGCATATACTCTTATAGTGGTTAATTACAGCCATTGGTCAAGGGCACTTTGGCTTACTATTTTGGTGGCAAGAAAGGGGAGAGAGGATGATTTTATACATTAACTGAAGCTGAACCATAAGTGATCTGGCTGTAGGTGCTAAGATTTAATTTTCCAGATTTTCAAATAAATAACAATGATAAAATTACATCAGTTTTACTTACGTTTCAGACCATGTGGATGAGCGGACAGTATGCAATGGAATTGCCCCTGAAAAAGATGTAGATGGATTTCATATTATCAACATCGGAAGACTGTGCCTTGATCAGCATTCTCTCATACCTGCCACTGCTAGTGCTGTTTGGGAAATAATCAAAAGAACAGGTTGGTCTACGGAACATGAGTGCTAACTGCCAAACTGAGGATTTGTGCATCGCCTTGATGGAAAGAGTGAAAGAATATAAGCCATAAAACTTCAGTCTATAGAAATATATAAAGTCATAGAAGTCAAAGAATAATATAAAATAAAAACAAATGAAGACATGTGCCAGGTTACAAGTGAATGCTGTTTTATCCTTTAGGGAGTGAATTTTCCAAACAGTACATTTGTCTCCCTACTTTCAAACTTTAAATTTAATGTATTTTGATGTACATTTTTCAAAATGTATTATGTTTTTCCTTACTTTTCAAAACAAAATGTGCTGAACACTTTTGAACCATCTCTGATGACCTAGATTTTCATCATAAACACTTGCCCTTGAAATGCAGTCTAAATATAGTAATGCTCCGACAGACCCTCGAAGAGGCAGGTGATGGTTCTTAAGTCTCCATTACTGTCATTTCCATTTCTGGCAGCATTTCCTCCTTTCTAATCTGCCGTTTTCTAAGTGAGAGAAAAAACTTCCAAGGGAAAGCAGACCCTAGAATCATACTCTTAGAATGTTAGTACTTGGAAAAACCTTAATTCTAACTTCTTCGTTTTACTTAAGAAGAAATTATGCCCTAAAGAGGTAAAGGATGTTAAATCTGTAAGCTTTATCTTTTGGACCTTTCGAAGTCTATAACTTTAGTGGTTCTCTCCTATGGAGTAAAGTGCATGAGTTTTGTGAAAAAAACACTTTTTTTCCCCATGTCATTTTGTCCCAGATTTGCTCAAAGTTTGATTGCCAATTAAGCTCGACATTGTTGTATTTGCTTACTTTATAATCAGTAATTCATATATTTTAATTCTCTGCATTTCTAACTCTTCATGTGCATTTTAACAGTTAAAAGTAACTTAATGGCAACTTGAAAATGTCTGTGGTTTTTTAATAAGGATGTAATGAGAGGGGAAGTGACAAATCCAAGACGTATAAAAAAAATATTTATAAAGAATGAATGGGGGAACATTATAGACAAGACACACAATAATTCAAATTTAATTAGAAGTTTTTGAAGATTGTTTCAACTGACTGTTGTTTAATTTCATTCTTGTTGCTTATTCTTCATTTAAATCAAACTCTGTGTTTTAAGGGATTGAAACATTTGGGAAAAACGTGGTTGTGGTTGGAAGATCCAAGAATGTGGGGATGCCCATTGCCATGCTCCTCCACACCGACGGAGAACACGAACGGCCGGGAGGTAGGTGGGTCTGGAGATTGAAGGCACTCATACAGTCTCTTCTTAAAATCATCAGATGAAGATGTTTGAAAATGTGACTTAGCATATTTGTGGGTTTATGCAAATAAAGATTTTCCTTATTCCTTCTCTAATGACATGAGCACCTTGATAATGAATATAAGAATTATTGGAAATATGTGACCCCTTTGTTCCTACTTTTTCTTGAGTATATACACTTCCTTTAAATCATTAAAAATTTAAACATTAAGAAGGGTGGAAAGGCTAGACACATACTAGATACATAAAAATCACATGTTAATAGATACGTGTCTGTCCATACACACCACACCCCCCAACACACACCACCAAGGTATGGGTAAAAGACTTTGTTTTACCACTATTAACCTTGGTGAATTCCAGTTTTCTGATTTCATTTATTCAGATATGATTGACTCTTGAGCAACATGGGTTTCAACTGCATCGGTCCACTTACATGCAGGTTTTTTTCACTGAATACATACTACAGTACTACAGGGTGAATTAATTGAATCAATGCACACGGAACCATGATTATGGGGGCCAACTGTAAAGTTACGTGTGGATTTTCAACTGGGCAGAGGGTTGGTGCCCTTAATCTCTGCATTGTTCAAGGGTCAACAGTACTAATTTTATGATCTTGATTGACATGATGCATATGAAATAATTTTTTAAGCCACAAATCCGTATGGAAAAATAAGCCCAATTATAATGTATCACTTATTTAAAGTGATAAATTCTAAGACTTTTGAATATTGTTTTTTCTCCTTGGACTTAAGGATTTAAATATTGCCACAAATCAAAATGTGTATGTGCATCATAGTAAACTAGGGCCTGATAGTGACTCAAGGTAACTTTAAGAAGCCTTAGTTTTGAAGAGCTCTTTGAAAGGCCAAATCTGGTAGTATGAACACAGTTTGCATCGTAACCATCCACAAAGTTGCATTTCTGGTTTTACTATTCCCTTCTAATTTAATCTATTAATGCTTATCTATCTGTCTCTTACGGAGATACTGATTCATATTTCCCTTATGTAACCGTTTCTGTGTTAAGCAAGGTAAAACAACCAGGGAAGTTTACCTTGGTGTATTAGTTTTGTTGGGAAATTTTGACCAAGAGCCAATGGGCAATTTTTTCTTCATTTTCAACATTTCATTTTCTTATCTCATTGATAACATAGCAACAGCATTATGTAACTCCATTACTTGCACAGCACTTTCTTGTGAACTATCTCGTTTAATCCTCAATAATTCCGGCATAGATTAGTATTTGGATTTTGCAGTCAGAGGAAATGAGCTGTCGAGACTTCAGTGACTTACCCAAGGCCATACAAGGACATGGTGTTCTGAGCTGGCCGGTGGGTGCTGACTGCGTGTTTAGGAGGACAGAAGACTTGAAGTCAGACCCCTCTCCTACCAAGCCCTGTGTCCTTGACAAGTCATTTAATCTGTATAAGCCTCCATTTCCCTCATTTGTAAAGCACAGATAGTATTACTACCTTCTTCACTGAGTTATTGTGAAAATTGAATGAGATTTGAGTGTAAAGCTCTACTCACAGTGCCTCACGCAGTAGGTTAAGTAGGCCCTTGGGATGTGTAAACTGTGGCTACTACTATTATTTCCATTATTATGCTTAAGTTAATACTCTGTGGCCATAGACATAACTACAAAGTTTAGAGTAACATAATCCAAGGTTAATGATGTATTTTTCACCTTCATTTGAAATTTTATTTTCTTTTTCTGCTGGACTTTATGTTTGCTTTTTTGGGGATCAAACCTAGTCTTTGTTGTAATAATTTGCATAAATATAGAATTTATAAAGTATTAGATTGGAAATATGACATCATAAATTGTACTTTACATTTTTCTTGTAGTAATACATTGTGTGCTAATTTCTTGATAAATTCCAATTTTGAATTATTTGCAAAATACCTAAGTCTAAGAAAATTTATTTACTTCTTCTTCATGCAGTTTTAAATTAGACATTCCTATGTTGTAAAACATTAACTTTATTAATACTTTACACGTTGTGTCATAAAATATTTTCACCTGAATGCATGTTAAAAATGGAATAAAAGCAGAATTAGCTATAATACTGGTTATTTACATGCCAAGTTGTTAAATTTACATTTATTATAGCAGCACCAGGTGCTGTTATAATTATAGTACCTAAAAAGTAATACATTATATTAAAAATGATGTTGGACAGTTCACAACATGGATGGTGTTTAATCTCATGCATATTTAATAGGAGTGTGGTGGCATATATGATTAATATAATGAATTGTTGAGAGCTGCTTACTGAAGATTTGAAGTCTGTGGGAAAGTTAATATTTCAAACGTCCATGTCTATTAGAGCAGTAATTATGTGCAGTGACTCCATGTGCCTTGTTAGCTAATGGAGATAATGAAGGAGGATTAACTGGGCAACTTCATATCTATAGAACATGTTCTGATGACACTCACAATGTTCAGCATTCAGCTCACACTGTATTTCTTGGCCAGAAAAGATTCAGAGCGCTAATGATTCATTTGTGTCTTAAAGCAGAAGATAATTGCACTAGAAGAAATATGCCCGTACCGTAACTTAGCTTGATAAATATGTGTCGACACCTGGCTAGCTTTTAGTCTGGATGAGTTAGGACATGGACCCCAGCTGTTTGGTGAGAAAGAGCTTCTTTGAATTCTTCAAGGGCTTGAAATATTTAGAGGACTGAGAATGTGCTAAACTCTTGAGGTAAAGAGGTAGTGCTGATACCCAACATAGCAGGATGCTGCAGGGAGACACCCGTCTGCTGAGGAAGTGTCATCCCAGGAAGCTTCGTAGCAGACATGACATTTGAGCCACTATGTAGTTTATAGAGAGCGACAAGTGGTCCCTGTCTTTCAAGAGCTTATAGTCTTGGTGGTGGTAGGGTGGGGATGGAAGTACAGAGGGAGCATTGTATGCAAGTACAGGTGACTTAAATGAGAAATATTCAGTGGCACAAAATAAAATTCTGCATCCTTAAGTAAACATTTCATTTGTGAAGGAAAGCCTTTGGTTAACTGAGGAAACATAAAGACACTGGGAGTGGAGCGTCTCTTCTCCTAAGCCCTACTACTTGTTAGGCTGTTTGAGTACCATCGTGACCGCCGATAAATCACTGCTGCTCTGGTAACCTCTTTGTGTGTGGTAACTACCCAGTGTCACCATTCAGAAGGAAAACTGAACACTGTTGGCTTTAGCACAAAGTCTTTATGCTTAGCTCTACTGTGATGAGGTAAGACAGAAGTCCTCCAATTTCTTTGAAACAGTTGTTTTTTTCCCTTCAAGATAACAAAGTGTCATAATGACAAGGCATTATGTGTATTAATTACCACTGAACGAATACAGAATCTGATCTTACTTCAAATTCTTTTCTGCCTATTTTATATTCTTATGTAGGACATCTCATCTAAATAGGTCCCCCTAAATGGCCACAGCATAGGGCTACGTGCTGCTCCTTTAACTGAGATGTGGGACTGTTGCCGTGGCATTGGTGCTGGGTCTTTTTAAAAGAGCATTTGAGGGTTAGCAAGTAGCTGGTTTTGCTTAGAGTCCTATGGACCCAGAGGTGTTCTTGATTTCATTCAGGCAATATGCATTCAGTACATATTCTCTGTGAAACACTGTGGGGTACAGTGATGACTTAGTCCTCTGTTTCCAGAGGATGACAGACTGCATCTTCAGGGTTCAGCTTTGGACACCATGTTTTCTCAAGGCGCTGCTTCTGGATTGGTGCTCAGCTTTTACACCCAAGCTGCCCATCTGCTGCAAATTTCTACATATCAGATATTTTTTATTCAAGGGACATCCTATCTAAATGGAAAACCACAAGATATTTTGTCAGTGGAATGCCTTCCCTTTGTGAAAATTGGCTGCAGTTGTGAAAAATGAACATTTTTGCCAACCTGGAAGTATTACCTCCCGCCTACAGGAGGTGCCTTCATATAGTAACACAGGAGCAGATGTTCCAGGCAGTGCAACATGATATAAGTGGTATGTGTGATTAAGCTCAGCCCAGCGCCAGGCTGGGCCAGGCACTCTTGGGTTTCAAAAAGAGGAGCCAAAAAGGGACACCTAGGAGTGCAGGAGTCACACAAAGCAATCATGCCACCAAGACCAAGATTCTTAGTCTTGTCGGCAGTGGAGTGGAGTGGGGCTTTTGCTCCTCTGTAGAATGAACCGTTGTCAAACTGGGGCAGGGAGGAGTGGCCAGCATTTAGCCTCTGCTCTTTCCATCCCACTATTCCTTAATTTAGAAGTACTCATGGGAAGATACTGGGGGAATGTTTTGTGATGCCTCCATGTTGACTAGACTTTACTGAATTACAGCTTTGAGTTTGCAGAGTGGAAAGCGATAGAACAGAACAAATGCTTGCTGTAGTCTCATTTTCTAAGCTGAATAGTAGGGATACTGTTTCATTTTCAATGCCATTTAAATTCAGCCAGCTAGTATCTGGAAAGCACTGTACTTATACCGCCTATTCTCACAGCTGGAACTATTAGTTACTGTTGAAACTAACATTAAAGACTATTTAAAATATAAAATGAAGTCCAAATCCTTTTCTTTCCCTTTCATTTCTTCTCTTTTCATGACCTCAGAGTACCAGACATTTGTTTTACTACCAATACAAAGCATCCCTTTCTAATGTCTATAAGCCCAGTTGTTCCAGGCATCACTTGTAAAGTTGCTGTGCTCTGCTCCACCTGCCTTTTTAGCCACTCCTCCCATCACATTACCCCTCATACCTCATGCAGAAGCTCCATAGAACTACACACTGTTTCCCAAACACACCGTCTCTTCCCTGCCTGCTTGGCATTACCTACCCTGTTCCCTCTGCAGAGACTGCCATTTCCCATCACTCACCTGCTTTGCTCTCACCTCCCACCCATCTTTCAAGATGTGGACCAGATCTAACTTTTGCACCTTATATATGCTGCCATCACAATGCTAATACTG